GCCAGTCTGTCACTATGTTCAAGCGTTCAACAAAACAATGTACAACGTATTTTCCCTTATCAGTCACTAAGCATTCTCCACTGGACTCAAACGACACTTGCAATCTAAGTTTTAAAGAACCATGCAGAGAATAAAAGGTCTTTATAATTATGCATTGTTATGACAAATAGAAGACTCGTTCATATATACGTTGATCTGTTACATGGACCTAAGCTCATAACTTGTTTAGTACCGAGCTCATAACTTGTTTGTTCGATCTTTAAGCTTTTTATATTCCATTCATCTGATATTTGTCGCTGAAGTAAACTTTCCGAACTCCCGGTTGATGTGATTTGAAATAAGTGTTTAAGCGTTTAACGGGTAACAGCAACAGGCTTATGTTGCGGCAACTGACAGAAGTCCGCAATACACAACACAAACTCTACGTAGACAAACTTGATCCTAGTAAGCCCTTGAATGAAACACCAGGAATGAGATGTTGCATAAAGAAACAAACATACCTCTTTCAAAGTACTTCAAATCAACTCTTGCGATTAAACTCGAGTTGTTGTCACAGAGCAGATGTCACTAACGCAGTTTAGCCCAGATGTTGGAGCACAGCTAAAGAAACATTAAGCACAGAATGGCATTAACACTACACCGTAGTTTTTGAAGAACAGGAAAAAAGAAAATTTTATGCACCTCTGACAACAATGTGATAGCTGTTAGCTGCTAAGTCATCTCGTGTAATCTCATTAAATTGACGGTTAGTCATGCGAGGATATTTGGCATTCCCTTCCCCTCAGGCAAAAGGTCACTGCGCATTTGTGACGTTCAAATTCACAACGAGGTTTGCTGGAGCAGCAAGCACGTTTCAAGGAGGATCAACGACAAATATTGACCTAATCAATGAGTTAATACAGCATGGCTTCATTTTATCCTAATGAGCGCAATTGTCAGATAATTCGAAGTAAATAGCATGCAAACGCGCCCCTGTTAATAGCTTATCATACTGGACAACGCAAAAAATCATTTTGTCACTCGTTTAAGGCACTCAACTGATAGGGCTCATCTGTTTTGATCATCAATAACGAAATATTACGTTTCAGAGCCTGCATCGATAAAATAAGTTGTATTTTTCAGAAAATGAGGCGAAAATTTTTTCTTTTTATGCACGGTAACAGTGATAGTGAAATAAAAATGTACTGAACGCCTCAATATAAGACTTATAATTGAGACAAACAGAGTTCATTAAAAAGTTCGATTACAAATATTGAACGCGTCTGAAAGCCGTTGGTGTAAATACCGAAAATGTAACAGTAAAATTCATCCTTTTACAAGCATTTTAGCCATAAGCTGGGCAATATTTCTCTAAAAATTTCCTGGAAAAAGATAATTTGCGTTAGATGCCAAAATATCAAAAGCTTTTTTCCGTTTTCAAAGTTGATACTTGTTGTAGAGTCTGGAAATTTCTCCATAATTGGCGGATCTCTAAGTAAAAAAAGAAATTTTAATTGTGCAACCAGTCTTTTCACGAAAACATTAATGGTCAAAGGTTTAGAGCTTTGTACGGACAATTCCAACAAGATATTCAGTAAACTAATAGGAGACAAGAAGAGACATTTTTATCAGCTGTATGGTGCCATCTTAACGAAAATTCACGGCAATTGCGTAGCATCCAGACTGAAAAGTGATAATTATCTTTTGAAGCTTTGCTAAAGTTGTGACCATTTCATTGAGAAGAGCTAAATCGTCCTCCTTGCCCAACGATAAGTTAAAATTGAACCCTTGCTTGGTTGGGTGGAAAAAATTGTTGTGTTCGTTGTCTGAAACAAATATGAATTCAAAACCAGATGTGATTCTTTTCGATGCCGCGCCTTGCCAGTCTGTCACTATGTTCAAGCGTTCAACAAAACAATGTACAACGTATTTGCCCTTATCAGTCAATAAGCATTCTCCACTGGACTCAAACGACACTTGCAATCTAAGTTTTAAAGAGTCTAAAAAATATTTAAAAAAGATTAAAAGAATAATTAAATAAATAGATAAACTAGAAATAGAAAATTAAGAAAAAAAATAATAATTATAAAAAAATTCACACCGCCTGAAGTGGAGTGTTCATATGGTATATTAAACTCAAGATTTTCACAGTTAGCAGTTCACTATTACGGAAAAAAAAGAGTAAAGAACAGTCCGGTTATGACCATGTCTAGAAAATGCGAGAAATTACACCTTCGGTTTTGCTGGAAAGCCGTACTTCCTCGAAACAATCTCAAGCTTTGCTTTCCAAAAATAAACTGCCCGTGCGAATTAACCCTTGAACCATTCTCACAACTTGTCAACTGCGGGTCCTAAAGTTCTCGGACAGCTCAAACTAAAACCTTGAAAGATATTCAGCGCTGAAAAATAGTAAGATGAAAAATGTAGATTGACAAATAGAGAAACACGTCAATACAAAGGTAAAGTTGCACTTTGAGAAAGCTAATTATAAAAATAAAATGTTTTCCCAAAAAGGCCATTTAACGCCACAGGCTTACTTGTCTCGTCAATTCCACGTGCAACTACCGTGACAGCGGCATGTATTTTTTTTCTGCTAGAATCTAATATCTTCTCTGGAAGAAAATTACTGATTTCAAGCTGGAAATAAAGTTAAGTTGAAACACAGTACTTGAAGGCTTTTAACGTAAACAGAGTAAAAAAAGCACTTTTTCCCGATTTTTTCGCACACCGTTTTCCGAGTTATGACTCAACTAACCGAACGCTTGGAAGAGGTTAGGGATAAGTTGTCTCCTCTAGCCCAGGCATTCAATCAATTGACATGGAAAGGCATGTGACGGGGATAAACGTACTTAGTATATTCATTTAAAGCTGGTAAAGAGTGGTAAAAGTGAACTGCTAATTTTTTTTAGACTCCGCACTCCGCACTCCGCGTTTTCGGAACAGCCACTATTTGGAGCTGTTGACGAAAAAGCGCTAGATTTTACAGAATGATTAAGAGGTAATTTTCGGATTGCACCATGATTGAATACAAGAAAAGATTGTAAACAATGCAAAGGATGCAGAAAAATTTTGCATTCGCATAGTTTTAGCGAATTCGTCAAATTTTTATTTTGTGAAGGGCTTCCTAAGTCTAAAAATAGAGGGATTTGGAACTCAACAACTTTCTCGAACTCGTTCGGAAAACGAACAGAAATGAACTTCTGCTATCTGACCGTGCAATATTGTGACAATACTTGTATTTGTATTTGAATTAGAAATATTTTTCTGTCTTATTCAAACCTATTTGAGGATTTGAAGCTCTATACCAATTAAATTTGCGGAAAGAATCTAGATTTAGCGGTATTTTAACATGTTAGACTCAATGTATTCTCGGGCATTGAATAGTGCTTTGTTCAGTTGAAATAATTTTCTGGTTCCTTGAGCGAGCTCTGAGGGAAAAATTAAAAATAGATCTTTTTGCTCAGTATGGTGTCTACACTGCCTGTGTTTCAGCAGGAAAAAAAATCGGACGCGTACTGTGTTTTCATGTTGCCTCAACAAAACAGTTTCATTTTTAGCAAAGCTGAAAGCCAGCCATTGTTTTTCAGTCTGCATGCACTTCTGCTGACATGCTGTTTACGTGACAACTATTTATAGGTCGCACAGCGACTGAAGAGGATTGTAGAATGCACTGCGCGTTTCGTAGGTGAACGACGACTAACCCTTTCACTTATAAGTTATTCTTCTTACTGTCTGCTATACAATTCTTATGATGCAAGTTCACAGAATTTGGTACTAGATCAACTAATAATCCCCTAATTGATATTTGTCTTTATTCGCATCACTTGCCCGCTAGATATTGTGATGATATTGTAAGGAGAAATTCTGCCTTGGTCACCAATGGGATACCTAGCTTAAAACAGTTAGAAAGAGGTGAGTTAGAGTTTAGGTAAGGGGGGGGGGGTTGAAGCGTTTTGCTTGTGTCACAATAAAATATGCCTTATCCCCTCATAAGGCTCTTTAATACTGTTATGCCCCCCTTCATTAGCAATTAATTTTCCGTAGTCCTCCCCCTTTAGACGCGAATGGCGACAATTAATCCCCTCCCCCTGAAAACTATGTGACCCTCCCGGTTGGCTCAATGGATAGAGCACTGGACTATTGTGCGGGAGGTCGAGGGTTCGAGCCAACACTCAAGGTCTTAAAATAATTCAGAAGAATTTGCTACCTTTCTATAACATCAAGAAATGGTTAGATATTCTAGTCTTCTCGGATAGGGACGAAAAAATGGAGGTCCCGTCTCCTGCAGGGTTGGGGGTAGGAGACGTTAATTTCCCACACACGAGATTACTAGGGGCGGCCGTCACCACCAAAAATACAACGATGTCAAATAGATCAGTAAATACAAAGATGGCTTAAGGATCAGCTGCAGGATAGCATAGCTNAAATAGCTCAGTGTAATGCCAAATGGTATAGCGTACACACAAATGGTTTAGCGTTGCGTGAAATAGCTCAGCCTTCACGTCACGCCACAAGCAAGCTCGACGATTTGCCACAACATCGAAATATTTCATGTAATTGATTGTCTCAATAACAGAGTTTAATTTATGATTGGAAGAAAGTTGACAAGAAATATCATGTATCAGTTGATGTCTGTGGTGTTTACTTCATCCTCTGCAAAGGCTATATTCTTTCGTCAAGTGGAACAACTGCTTTGCTCATGCGCACACTCGGTAACGTAATCTGATGTGAAACGGACTTTAATAGTTTTTGCACGACCGGCTGATACACTGTACGAAGGAAACGAATAGTTTCATCTCAATTCCAATTTTTAATCAATGGGAGTATCGCCTAGCAGATAAACGTGGTGTATGGACATTGTGACAACGCCGCAAAAACGGGAATTTTCGAAGCAATTTAATGTTGAAATGTTATCAAGATGCGCATTTGATGCGCAATTAAGATCGATCAGGTTATCGAAGGAACTCATTGTTCACATGCAGTCAACACTCTTGGAAACTCCTACATATTTCTCTCCTATTTCCTCCACATGTCCATTTATCGTCCAATTCCTACGACTAGATGATCATCAACTAAAGTGGTCGAGTCCTCGAAATTTGCAGTGCTTAAAAATGCGTCAGAGAGAGATGAGATGCATTTTGCTAATGTCTTGAATTACTGATAATGCGCTCTTAAAACGAAGGCGTTGGTGATTAATTAAAACCGAAAGGAGGTGAATTGGAGAAAGTAGGTATTTGGCTAAATGATTAAAATCCTAGGTTGGAGACAAATTGTCTGTCTAGGAAATGAATTCAAGACTTTGTCAATTTATCACACTTTAACATCTGTTGTGTACGATTACACGAAGGCATCAAAGCTCTGTTTTTATCCCTTTCAGTAAAGATTCAAGCAAGCTAAGAGACAAACTTGCATGCCTTCAAATGTAGCCTGTAGAACAGGCGAAATCTTACTGTGTTTTTTTTCAAGCGATCTGAGACAAGGGCGAAACGAGTGCGAAGCACGTGACTCGCACTTTGCACTCACCTGGCGTCTGCCTAGTTGGACGAACTCGCCTTGAAAGGTTTTGCCCTTGATTGGAGCAAAGTGTACAGCACACAGCACTATCTTTTACATTGGCGACAAGAGGTAGTCTGATCCCGTTTCAAAACAGTTTCCTTAGTTCATCGGCCACCATTCTATTTACGGTATGTCATGAGACAGGTTTGTTACACAATTAAGCGCCCACAAGTCGGCAAAAAATACGTGCCATGCCTAAGGCTAAGCTACCTGAATATCAACCATCATTAACATCACTAATCTAAATTTGTTTGACAACAGACCTTTAACTTATTCGAAAGGGACGCGAATCGACGCACGCACGGTTCGTGAGCGGAGGGAGCCACGCAGCTTCGCGAATTATCACGGATGCATGTGATAAGCGAGTGTCATCTCTCCCAAATGCCCAATCGAGACCGCTAACATTTTCCTTTACGTTTCAAAGATTCAAACTGTAGGTACAAGAACTGTCGGGATTTCGCTTTGAGTCCACTAAGTCATCGAACAAGCACGATATTCGTCGTAAAATTAAGAGAATATTCGAGGCACCGCACTTAGTTGGTTTAAAAGCTATCTAAGCAGTAGGGAATGTAGAATTCAATGGTATCAGTTCAGATTCTTGTGAAATAAAGTGCGGGGTGCCTCAGGGCTCGTTACTAGGCCCCTGCTCTTTCTACTTTATATAAATGATCTGTGCAATATGTCAGAGGTCTTAGACTTTATTCTCTTTGCTGATGACACAAATATATTTTTGTCCCCCAAATATGTTTCTTTTCCTTCGTGAAATTTGGAATTCTGAATTGCCTATATTAACTCAATGGTGTCGAGCGAATAAGCTGTCCATTAACTTAAAGAATCGAATTTTATGATTTTTAGTCCTCGCCAAAAAAGGCAGACACTTGATATATCTATTCAAATTGACAACAATGTTATTGGACGTGTGAAAGAAACATTATTTGTAGGTGTTATCCTCGATGGGCATTTGTCATGGAAGCCTCACATTCTTAGCGTTTCTAGAAAATTATCAAAATCAATTGGTATTATTTAGAAGTCCGGTTTCTGCCTTTCCAAGACTTCCTTGCGCTCCTTATATTATAGTTTAGTTTACCCTTACTTAACTTATTGTGTTTCAATTTGGGAATCGGCATATCAGTCTAATTTAAATCGTATTATTATTCTGCAAAAGAAGATAATCAGAATTATATCTAAGGTTTCTTTTGATTCACATACCGATGTTCTTTTTAAACATGGGATCTTAAAATTCTCGGACGTCTATTTCTACCAAATAGGCAAATTTATGTATCTGTTTAAAAGAGGCTTACTTCCAAATTATTTTCGTGATATGTTTACTCTTGCTAGCCAGATACATTCTTTTAATACAAGAAATTCCAGCTTTTTCTACATACCTCATTGTCGAACTAATTTTGGAAAATTTTCAATCCGGTTTCAAGGTCCTAAGTTTTTCAACATGCTAAGTCGGGAAATTCAATACTCTGAAAGCATCAGCTTGTTTAGCGAAATGCTTAAAAAAATTCTTCTTTCTTAGTTAAATATATTCTTCGTGAAGCTACACATCTTTTCTTTTTTTCTTTTTTTCTCTTTTCTTTTTTTTTAGCTCAATCTAAATTTTCATTCAGCACCTTTGATTTGTATGGTATATCCTATAGTTTAAGGAAGCCTATACTTTATAAGCCCCCGGCTTCTAATCGGCTTCCTTGCTGTTACCTCTTCAGTTCCTTTGATTTTGAAGTTAATTTAGTTAGAATAGTTCTTTTTATCTTTGATGTATCATAAATTTTGTATTCGGTTAATTTTTTTCTGGTTATAGCAAATAAAATGAATGAATGAATGAATGAATGAATACTTTTTTTATTTTTCTCAAGCTTGGCACCTGGACTTTCGAATTCTAGAAATCATAACATGCTGACGTTCATTTTGTGATATTTCGCACAATACTGTCGTTTGAATGGAATCATAGACTATCACCTAATTGCACTCTGTACCACTTTCTGACTCAACTGTTACTCGTGTTTTCAACTGTTTTAAAAATATTTCGGAGATGTTCCTCCCTGGACATTTCAAGTTTGGCGTTTTTGTGTTGAACGTTATTGTGAGAAGAAACCAAATGGTTTTAAGGTAGAAAATAAGATGCATAGACATCATTTGAAGAATTGAGGGTTTGAAAATCACTCCCAAATTCCCAGCAAATATTTTGATTGTCTAATTAAACGAGAACAACTGCTGATGCAAGTTATTTTAGGCGTGTTCAATGCGTCGAAGGAAATATTTTCATGTTTTTGTCTCCACAGGTCTTGACATCATATCTAAGGAAAAGTATTTTGTATCTATTTTATACTTGAATTCATGCTGAAATGAAATTACATTTAAAGCTTACTATCGACTTCTGAAAGCTACCCACAGTAATAAGTGAAGAAACAAATTAAATCTGATTCTTACCTAATATTTTTCGGTTTTTACGCACTTCTTGGGAGACTTCCGTTTTGCAAGTCGCTCACTTCAACTTAAAAGACAAGCGTTAAAATCAATGACAGAAAGACTTTCCACAAAACCGAGTCCGTTAACTGAGGTAATTTGTGTTAATATAAGAAGTGATATGTTTGGAGCTCAGATGTGACTTATATCATGGTACATTCTGTGGTACATAATATCTGAAGATATACAACGACCTTGAGTGTCGTAAGTACCATGGCGGTAATTCTGAACTACTTTGTTTTTACAACTGCGCTGATTGGTTAAAAAAAACTTCGTTTTACTCTTCCAACTAATCAGGTGCAAAAGCAAACACCGCATGCGACATTGTCACGTGCTTTTCCCGCGCCTTGCGCTGATGCTACTCATTTTTCTTTAATGTCATTGGCTACACGTCTTGTTGATGTTCTCTGTGATTGACCCTCACAATGGTGCTGCGCGCCAGGTCTAAAAATAGATATGTCATCTTTGGATCCCCCGCTGGTTTAGGACAAACACTCGGAGTCTTTACAAGGACTTGTATGCGAAACGTGTCAGAAGCAAGACTATTTTCGCTCAAAAAATGCTCTAACTTTCTAAAACGGTTGCAGCTAGGCATTGCTGTCTGAGTACATGTAAAGATGACTCAAGATATCCAGAAAGATTGCCAGATTCGCTTAAAGAAATGCTGAAAAACGGTCGGAAAGCCTTCATACCGTTCCCAAAGCCGAAGTATGACTTGAAACTTTGTCAACGCCGGGTTAATGCGTGTTTTAGAAAGAGTTTCTCAGTTGATAGTGTTAACTACAATATTTATATTTGTGCTGTACACTGAAATCCTTGACAAAAGCCTTTTCAAACCGCTTGTTTGGAAACATTACATAGACGACATCTTCTCGCTACGGGGTACAAACAAAGCAACAATAGAACGTTTCACTGAAAAAGCAAACAATCATCATCCAACAGTGAAATTTACGGTTGAAATTTTCGCTTCGGAAACAACATTCCTGGACACCTACATCTAAAAAGGCGAACGATTCGCACAGGACGCAATCCTTGATGTGCGTGCTCATTTTAAACAAACTGAGACATTTCAGTATACACACTATAGTTCCTGTCACCCACAAGGAGTTAAGAAAGGCTTAACAGAAGGAGAGGTCCTTAGACTTCTCAGAACAAAGTCCTCTCAAACAATATTCGAGAAGAAAATTGCAAATTTCAAAGCGCATTTGCTAAAGAGAGGCTACCCAGAGGCCCTCATTAACACAACCCTCTCAGAGGTGAATTTCAAAAACAGGAAACTAGCTCTTCAACAGAAACCGAAGACGAACCAACGAATCTTGCCTTTTATTACACAATACCAACCATCAGGGCCAAACCTAAAGCAAATTCTCATGAGACACTGGCATTTAATAGAAACACAACCAGTACTGAGCAAACTATATAAAATTCCGCCACTCGTGTATCTTAAAAAAGAGGGC